AAAGAAAGAAAAGAAAAGAAAAAGACCTTGGCATATGGTTTCAAATGTTTTAAAACCCAGTTATAATAGAGTTCACCATTCTCATTTTAAAAGATTACATAATCTTTCTCTGTAATTCTAGAAAATACTTCAATCTAAATATACAACTGTGCGTAGCAGTGTTTCAGGAATGCATCCTTGCACTTTTAATTTCTTATCTCCAGGGAAACAGGCTAAGAAAGCAGAATATTCGATATTGTTGCATTGATTTAGAAAGTTGTAAATGACAGAAAAGGAGGAGTACGCTTATTTTGATGGTTTTCAGAGGGTACGCAACATTTGCTGACATGCTTGTTATGTTGTGGAGCCAAACATTTTTTTTNCCTAAAAAACATGCCTGGAGCAAAAATGACAGAGCTAATTACAGATGGGAGGCAGGTGGATGGGCCTATCACGCATGCAATGGCCAAATTGATCAATGATGTATAAAAGCAAATATCTCTTCAATGGTAATTTTTGCACTCTGACGATGTTAGCAGAGGCTAACAAAAGCTAAGTGTTTATGTTTGAAGTCCCGGAGATTGCAATGTCTGTCTCTTCTTATATATCTTTCTATGATATGTCTGTGTTTGGGTCTTTGTAGAGATAGAAAGATATTTATTTTAATTTACCATATTTTTAACAAAATGTCTTTTTCAGCAGATATTTATTTCATATTTTAATGGTGGGAATGCATTTTAATTAACTTCTTACGAACATAACTTTTTGCATGGTGTATTTTCAGCATATACACTTGAGATGAAACACATGTTCTATACATTGTTCATCTGTGAATGTTTTCCCTCCAACATACAGGGCGTGGGTGATATTTTGGGCCTAGGAAGATTTTAATGTAAATTCTGCATCTTCTATAGACTTTTTTAAAAACAGGGATGTAGTTATTCAATAACTCAAAATGTCAGTATGTTCTAAAATGCCTGTTCCTTTAACAATTCTGAATGTCCTGCTTCAGCTAAAAATATGAAAGGGACAAGTTTTAAAAGGCATTCATTATACCTTCACCAATTAGCTGTGACCTTTTATCCTAGCCACAAGCTATGAGATGATAAAACAAGACCAATTCTGAAATATATTCCCTCTAATATTAGCTTAAGTTATTTCTTTTCTTTCGTAGCTAACTGTTCTTATTTTTTTTTATTTATTTTTTTTTACTTTCCTCTATGCTGCTAAATCTTTTTACTATAAAATTAAACTTTTAGAAACGTTAATAGCTGCTGCCCTTTTAGGAATGTCCTAGTTCAGAAATATTGCTTCTGCAGGCTTACTCCATGCTATAATTTCCTTCTTGTTGTAGAGTAGTTACCATGGTTTAGTTACTAACTCTTGAGACTGTAAATTAGACATTACGTATTGTAGGCTGAATCAAGATGCCTATGACTTGTAATGTTTCTGTATTACATGCTGCTTGGAACGCGGTGGCTCAGTGGCTAAGATGCTGAGCTTATCGATCAGAAAGGTCAGCAGTTCGAATCCCTAGTGCCACGTAATGGAGTGAGCTCCCGTTACTCGTTCCAGCTTCTGCCAACCTAGCAGTTCAAAAGCATGTAAAAATGCAAGTGGAAAAATAGGGACCATCTTTGGTGGGAAGGTAACAGCATTCCGTGCTCCTTCGGTGTTTAGTCATGCCAGCCACATGACCAGGGAGACATCTTTGGACAGTGCTAGCTCTTCGGCTTTGAAACAGAGATGAGCACAGCCCCCTAGAGTCAGGAATCACTAGCACATGTGTGCGAGGAGAACCTTTCCCTTCAATATATACCAGCTGGAACAACTTAAGATGTCTGCGGTCTCCTTAAGGATAAGGGAAGTGTACACACTTAGAATAATGTTTAAGTAAATCAATTCCCCACAATAAACACTTAAAGCAAACCAAATAAACTAGGAATTCAATCCAGGTAAGTTCACTCATATCCTGTTGGATCCTGATCTCATGGGGATTAGACAGAAAGGAGAGAATGATTTGCACGTGGTCAACACAACCTTAGCATCACATCTATATTTGTAAGGTGATTTTGCTCTCAGCCTCACACATGCAAGGGCACGAAAATAGAGACAACAGGAACACTGTTGGAAACTTTAAAAGGAGGTTCTTGACAACACTAATGAGATTAAAGCAGAGTCCCATTAATCTGATTGCTTCCTTTGTTACTTTTCTTCACATACTTCTGTGGTTCCTGCTGAGTGAAGCTTTAAAGTAGGAATGCCTCTCAGTTCAATAAGTGTAAATGATGTTGGAGGGGAGTGAGTTCCTTTCAAAAGACATATTATGCTACCTGCTTAGTATTTTACAAGTGGCTTCCACCTATATTGTCAATATTAAGTACCCTGGAGAACAGCAAGAACAACACAACGTTAACTAGAAACAAGAAAACTATCTGACAAATTCTCTTTAGCGGAAGCCATGCTAGGGAAGGATTACACAAACCAATTTATCTTCCAGAACATTTGTTTTATTACTAACTTTTCGGTACTGCGGCTCTCCATTTTTACTTTGCATTTTTTCAGTTTCCCCAAAGTGATATTTTAATGAGGCTGATATACTTGTGGCCAGCCATTTTTTGCCTTTGAAATACTTCAGGCAGAAAAACATTTGGCCCCAATCAATTTTACTGTGGGGATGTAATTAATTTTATGATCTATGCCCTTCCAACAAGAACTCTGTAACTAGAGATAGGTCTTTGCGCGTTACTTCAAACCTTGTTTGTGCAAAATGAATTCTTAAGAAGGGGAAGTGAAGCAGCTTTTCATCACGGCGGTGATACAATCAACAACATCTTTATTAAAGTATGGAGGTGATTTGCTACCTAATTTTCCTAAAACATAATTGCTGTTAATAAATGTCATAACTTGTGCTTAATCTGCCTTCTGTAACACACTGTTATTTCACTTCCATTAGCCCCGAGTGCCATTAAAACCTCAGGTTTCTTCTGTCTACCCCCAATATTTTTTGTCTAGATAAGGATTTCCCTTGAGCTAAGCTCAACTACATGTTTACATAATTTTCTGGGCAACAATATGAAAGCGCAGATGAACCCACATTGAGCTCCCCAAATTTCCATTACTAAACAAGACCGTTATTAAGTGATTTATTTTTTGCCCTGTTTTATGACCTATCTTGCCAGCGTTGTTGTGTGAATCACTGCAGTTGTCCCAAAGATGCTCCTTCAAGAGGAAATAGACTTTCTGGTTTTTCTTTGAAGACTTTTCACTGCTCATCCAAAAAAGCTTCTTCAACTGTGACTGGATGGTGGGGAATGGAAGGATCTATATTCCTTGCAGACAGCTGGTCATTTGCACCCCCTTAGAGAGTCGTTGTGGCCACTGGGAGGTTTATCTGTTGTCCTCAGATTGGTCACCTGATTGGTGCAAATGGGTGTGGAGCCTAAAATGACAAGCTACCTACAAAGAATATAGCTCTTTCTATTCCTCACCATCCAGTCAGAGCTGAAGAAGCTTCTTGGATGAGAAGCAAAACCTCTTCAAAGAGTAAGTAAGTAAGTAAAATCTTTATTACAGTCAANCCACCTAACCTGGCCAGCCACTGGTGGGTTTACCTGTGCAACCCCTCCTGCATCAATATAAGTGCTACTGCTATTTTGCCTCCAGCAGGTTTTAAGTATTTACATCTTTGCATACCCATGGACACATACACATCTGTGGTCTATCATAGAAATATGAATATGGATACTCTACAGTTCTCTTAGATTGTTTTTATTTAAATATTTCACTGAATAGGAAACTTTATGTTGAATACTTTATATAGTGTAGTCCTCACTAAGTGGTGTTCGTTGTGCTTAGCTTAATAATAAATGCATGTAGACAAATTAAATAGATGTAAATTTATGTGGCCTTAATCTGTGATGATATTTTATTTGATTAGTCAATCCACTAATGGTTATAAGAAAATCACCCTCTATTTTTTTTATTTTTTTTATTTGAAGTTGACTCTGTCATCTTGTGTGGATAAAAGAAGTAACATGACTGGTCTTCTATGACCATTTCAGTGTTTGTGCGTTCTGTGTTTTTACGTTGTCAAAAGCTGTTTGAAGCTCTCAGAATAAAATAGATTGAGATTAAAAAATGCCAGTGATTAATGGGCAAATAAAGGTAACAATGATTAACAAAGTGAAAATATTCAGCCTGCTTCCCTGAATGCCCCAGACTTTCAAACATCTTTACAACCCAAACGCTCCCTGCTTTAGGAGGAAAAAAAAAATCTGCCTATTTATTTTGAAACAGTCGGTTTTGTTTTTTATAGGCCTACTCACAATTTCTCTATCAGAGTAAACAAATTCTAGTAAAATTATGTCTGAGTGAATAATGATGAACGAGACAGGAGAGGAGAGAAATTAGTAGTATAAAGTGTGATTTTAATGTCTCGGGTTAATAGAAACAAAACTGTTGCTCGCAATCGCTTTTTTTTCTTGATAGTTAAATGAAACTGACAGGTACAAAAAGATACTTGTTTATATGTATTTACACTTTCATTAAAATGGAGATGCTCTCTGCAAAAAATACGGAGCCAGAATTCTCGTTATTAACAGGAGGGTTAAACTGGCGTTGATAGCGTCACATCCCATGCATTTCTTAAAATGTATTAATTCAGCTGCAAGATTTTCCAGCTTCATGCTTAGGGGACCTACAGATATGAACAGGATAACAGCAGCTGCAAATTAAACATCTGTATATTTGTCTGTGGCCCACGTTATCAGTAAGATTAAAAAACAAGGTCTTAAAAAACAGAAGGGATGTCAATTTCACTTCATAGAATCTTAGAAGCGAACTAGTCAATAGCTCTGCATGGAATTTAACAGCTTGCATTGCCCTGTCATACATGTCCTTAATCCGGTGCATTTTGTCATGCAAATTTAACCTTACTTTTTGCTTTCCGTATCCTTTTCCCCAGTGTTCCAGCCTTAATTGCAAAGCAATTAATTTGACTTTTTTTCTGCTATTCACAGAAGGGGATGAGACGGGAGTGATGGATAATCTATTGGAAGCCCTGCAGTCTGGAGCAGCGTTCCGGGATCGCAGAAAACGAATGCCAAGGCCTCAAGGTAGGACAAACGAATGTATCCGGGGCAGGGGCATAAAAATATAGCTATGATTGGAAAGCACGGTGGTCGTGGGACAAAGGTAGCTATGGGGAACCCCCTTATGAGTTTCAATCGAAGTATCTTTTGGTGTAGAAGGGAATTGCCAGCGGGGCATCAGTGTGTAATCAACGGATGTAATGGGATAATTATAATAACTGCCTCAGGAAAAACAACTAAAGTTCAAGGAGCTCCTGTTTTGATTGATACCACTGTAAATGAACGTAAATAATGCTCCGGAGTTTGTGGCAAATCATTAAAAATGTTCCAAATAATTAAATTGAGTCAACCGCAATCCTCAGCCTATAAGAACAATCAATCTTCATTTTTCATGGGTAAATTTGTACCTTGTCCTTCAGACTATTAATTTTGTTAAAACGCATGCTAATGAACATTCCTGAGTTGTTGTAGGTGGTTTTTTTTTAAGCGCTAAATGAAAACACAGAGCAGGTTTCTCTTCTCCGATCCCTCATGTACCATTATTCTGAGTTTGATGTGGTCTGCCATAGCTGGCCGTCTCATGGAGTCTGCAAATGTGATTTAAATAAATCACAATTTACTTGAAAGCCGCCGTTTCTTTCTTTTTTACAGACCGATCAGAAGCTTCTAAATTTGGTCAATGTATAAAGGAGGGAACAAAATTTTGCAGTGCATGGTGTTACCTTGTTATTCCCATGCATATTTTCAATTCCACTTCAGGTGTAAATATGGACATCGTGGGGATTGCACGGTGACATTTTTTAAATCAGGGGTGTCAGACTAAAGGCCCGGGGGTCAGATCTGGCCCACGGGGCTGCCATAGAAACAGCAAAGGATTGGCCCGCAGTGCCTTTGCAAGTGAAAACGGAGCTTTATTCTGATCTAGGCTTCCCAAGAGCATGAAGCAAACTCCTGGTCCCGACAAAAACCCCTTTTATTAATTGACTGAATTCTGCTCATTCACATCCAGCAAAGTCTTTCAAGGGAGGATTTACAGTCACAGACCTTATCTGGCTTGGAGGGCTGACAGGCCGATATCTGCAAAACTTGGCCAGGAGTCTCAGAGAGTCACGAACCAATTAAGTGAACTAATTGTCTCCTGCAAACTCCACTCCCCTTTCGCTCCTCTTTTATTTCCTCTGGGAGGCGGCCACTCATTGTCCACCTGTGGCCTTACTCCCAAGTCAACCCCTGTTCTTTAGCTGTTCCCTTCGTCTGGCCATTCTGTGCATCTGCACACTGGGAACAGGCTCCAGCTGTTCTTCTGCCACACTGATGTGGCAGTGTGCCACAACCTCCTCACTGTCTGAATCTGCAGCCAGCTTCGCTGGCCACTGGCGAGCCACAACAGGCTATCTGTGGCCCACCCACCCTGGCCATGCCTACTCTGGCCCCTCAAGGTCAAACACAACCCTGATGCGGCCTTGATGAAATTGAGTTTGACACCCGTTTTAGCTTGAACAGAGATCAAAATGTAAAGACTGCAAAAATTGTAAAGTAAAACCCTACTTTCATTCTCAGAAGATCTGATCTGACTGTGAGTGGAGAACATGGTTACTTCTTCTTCCTTCTGTTTGCATTCATGTTCCTAGGGCCATGTTTATTTTTAACAGCAATCCTTTAGGAGAAATCAGTAGACAAGAAAGGACATTGTAGAGTTATGTACTATTAACATAATTATTTCAGAAGGTGATCATGATTAACTTCTGCTGAAATTAGCAAAGAAAAAGAATCAATTAACAAAGACTGAATAGTCCAACGTATAACGGAAGATTGAAGACTAAAGGTTGTGTTTTCTCTCACTTGTTTACTGACTTAATGTCATCTGAGAGTTTCAAATACAGTTTTTATTCAAATTCCCCAATAAACTAAATTAGCTAGGAGGTAGTAATATTGATCCCATCCTAATATACGAAAAGGTTATTTAGTAATTTTTGCAATTTTGAAGATTACATGACAAAACCCCAAAGCTTATGCTAGAGAAGTAGTGCCCATATTCAAATAGGGGTGCCATTAAAAATTTAAATATCAGTCTTTCGGGTCCAAATGTCTCTATTGCATATCAACATAGGACACAGCTGCTTTAAAGAGCTTCAGCTATCCACCTATCTGAAGCTCTTTAAAGCAGCTGTGTCTTTTCTTGGGGGATCACTTGGCTGCCTCCCATGGCTCCAAAGCATATTTTGAAATCAAATTCAAAGAAACATCATTTCCCAATGAAAAGTTTGATTGTTCAGAAGAACAACCTCTCTGATTTGCTCATCTTTCCCCTAAAGTTCATAATCCCCCCCCCCCCCTAATGCTGTCTTCTGAATTTTTGGATATCTTCCTAAGTAGGTATAAGATTGCAGCCTACATAAAGCTGAAATAATTGCAAGTGTGTGTGTATGTGTGTGTGTATGTGTGTGCGCGCGCGCACGCGCACGCATGCACATGTGTGTATTTCAAACTATCCTAAAAAACATGCCTGGAGCAAAAATGACAGAGCTAATTACAGATGGGAGGCAGGTGGATGGGCCTATCACGCATGCAATGGCCAAATTGATCAATGATGTATAAAAGCAAATATCTCTTCAATGGTAATTTTTACACTCTGACGATGTTAGCAGAGGCTAACAAAAGCTAAGTGTTTATGTTTGAAGTCCCGGAGATTGCAATGTCTGTCTCTTCTTATATATCTTTCTATGATATGTCTGTGTTTGGGTCTTTGTAGAGATAGAAAGATATTTATTTTAATTTACCATATTTTTAACAAAATGTCTTTTTCAGCAGATATTTATTTCATATTTTAATGGTGGGAATGCATTTTAATTAACTTCTTATGAACATAACTTTTTGCATGGTGTATTTTCAGCATATACACTTGAGATGAAACACATGTTCTATACATTGTTCATCTGTGAATGTTTTCCCTCCAACATACAGGGCGTGGGTGATATTTTGGGCCTAGGAAGATTTTAATGTAAATTCTGCATCTTCTATAGACTTTTTTAAAAACAGGGATGTAGTTATTCAATAACTCAAAATGTCAGTATGTTCTAAAATGCCTGTTCCTTTAACAATTCTGAATGTCCTGCTTCAGCTAAAAATATGAAAGGGACAAGTTTTAAAAGGCATTCATTATACCTTCACCAATTAGCTGTGACCTTTTATCCTAGCCACAAGCTATGAGATGATAAAACAAGACCAATTCTGAAATATATTCCCTCTAATATTAGCTTAAGTTATTTCTTTTCTTTCGTAGCTAACTGTTCTTATTTTTTTTTATTTATTTTTTTTTACTTTCCTCTATGCTGCTAAATCTTTTTACTATAAAATTAAACTTTTAGAAACGTTAATAGCTGCTGCCCTTTTAGGAATGTCCTAGTTCAGAAATATTGCTTCTGCAGGCTTACTCCATGCTATAATTTCCTTCTTGTTGTAGAGTAGTTACCATGGTTTAGTTACTAACTCTTGAGACTGTAAATTAGACATTACGTATTGTAGGCTGAATCAAGATGCCTATGACTTGTAATGTTTCTGTATTACATGCTGCTTGGAACGCGGTGGCTCAGTGGCTAAGATGCTGAGCTTATCGATCAGAAAGGTCAGCAGTTCGAATCCCTAGTGCCACGTAATGGAGTGAGCTCCCGTTACTCGTTCCAGCTTCTGCCAACCTAGCAGTTCAAAAGCATGTAAAAATGCAAGTGGAAAAATAGGGACCATCTTTGGTGGGNTAACCACTGTTAGCTACCCAGATGCACATTAGTGACATAGATGGCTATATAACCCACACCCACACCTAATCAATCAATCAACCAATCAATGAGAACACAAGTTACAACAGTACATACATTCTTCCCCTTGATGGGCAACTCAAATAATCAGGGAGTCCCTCCTGATATTTACCTGGAACTTCATTTCTCGAAGTTTTAATCCTCTGGTTTTAGACTCTGGGGAATTAGACGATAAGGCCATTCAGATATTTGCTATCACATCTCCCGTCAATCACCTTTTCTGTAAGGTAAGACTGTCCAGAATCTTTAACCATTTCTTGTAAGATTTGGTTTCGAAACACTTCATCATCCTGGTTTCTTTCCCTGAACCAGCTTCCATTCGTCACTGTCTGTTTTGAATCTTTGCCCGAACCCACCTGTGTTTCATATAAAGACATTCTCATTTGTCTTACAGTTAATGCCAAAAGTATTATGATTCCCGCTTGACGGGGTAATAAATGGGAAAGGAAGCCTTTTTTTCTATTGTTTAGTTTATCACAGTGTCAAGTGGAAATCATAAGGCTTTCAACATTAAGTGTAAGATGAATGAGAGTGGGGTTTTTAAAAATATTAAACAGGGGTGCTTAGCTGAGATTTCTGTTGTGAAATTTGTCAAGGAAATGCTGATCAATAATTTTGAAACTGAATCTGGACACCTGATACAATTGTCAGTTTCCTGGAGAAGTGCATAGGTTGAGTTTCTTGCCTGTCCTTTCTCCTCTCTATACACATTCTTCAAACTTCTCTAGATGGTTTGAAGGCTGTCTTCCCCATCCATAGAGCTATAATGGTTACAATTTTTCAGCACAATTGACACCAGAATTTCGATTGCTAAGCAAGGTGATTAACAGAGTTGGAAGGGACCTTGTAGGTCATCTAGTCCAAGCAGGAGACACTACACCATTTCTGAACAAATGACAGTCCAGTCTCTTCTTGAAAGCTTCCAGTGATGAAACTCCCATAACTTCTGAAGGCAACTTCTGTTCCATTGGTTGACTGTTCTCACTGTCAGAAAATATTTCCTTATCTCCAATTTGAATCTCTCCTTGATCAGTTTCTATCCATTCTTCCTTGTCTGGCCTTCAGGTGCCTTGCAAAATAGCTTGATCCCTTCCTCTCTGGGGCAGCCCCTCCAATATTGGAAGTTGCTATCCTGTCTCTCCTAGTCCTTCTCTTCACTAGACTAGCCATTCCCAGTTCCTGCAACCATTCTTCATATTGTTCTACTGATGGCAATTTTAAGGCTTAAGAAACTGTGTGTGTGTGTGTGTGTGTGTGTGTGTGTGTGTGTGTGTGTGTGTGTGTGT